TAGAAATATATTTCAATTAACAATTTAGGCAATTTTATTATTGTATTTGTAAATTTTATTTTTTTTAATTACTTCTGTTAATTTTTTTTAACAAGAGATATTTGTAATTTTTTAAACTATAAGAACAATTTGTACTTTAAACAAATCTCAGAGGTGTATTCATAGTTTACCCTATATTATTTGAATGATTAAATTAATATATTTTTTAATTTTTTTATTAAAAAAATAAAAAAAGTGATATAATTAAAAAATATAGTAAAAAGATGGCTATTATAGGGGCTGCCTTCAAAATACACTTGGCTTCTTTTTAATCACTTCCGTTAAAAAATATAGTAAAAAGATGGCTATTATAGGGGCTGCCTTCAAAATACACTTGGCTTCTTTTTGTTTAATTATTTTTTTATTGTGATTCTTAATTATTATTATTTTTTTGTCATTTTAACTTTCACATTTTATTTTTGTTTTTAAATTTACTCTTAAAATTAACGTTTATGTAAAATTATATAAAAAAATATCACATTATATGACAAGAAATATATATGATTATATTTAATTTATATTTCTAATCTAAATTTAAATTTAAATCTAAATATAATAATATATTATTAAAATATCACATGACATCTAATGTGATATTTTCTGTCTAATTGAATAAAAATTAATTTTCGTAGTAAATTTAAAAAAACTTCATACGTGAAAAGTTAAAATGAGAAAAAAACTTAAATAAAAATATAGTTAAATATAAAAGAACGAAGTATAATTTACTCATAAATTTATTCACACATTCTTTTAATATGTAAATAATATAGTAAATATGATTGACTTATAAATTTAAAGATCTCACACAAACGGAAATATGTGACTTTTACTAAAATTTTTCATTAAAATATGTGGAATTTAAATATTTCTCAAGGGTGATTTGAGAAGTTGGTTAAAAATTAATATTTTGACTTTTTTTGATTTTTTTTGTCTTTTTATGTATAAAAAATATGAGACGTGATATCACTCAAAAAGTTAAAAGTTAAAAACTAACTTTTAGTTAGGTTGCCAAATTATTTTTTTATAATATGTAAATTTAACAAAAAATATTTGGTAAAAATTGTACTCTAACTGTTTTATCATATTGATATCAAATGAAATGAGCGCTATATTTTTCATAGAATTAAGGGAGTTTTTATATTTGTATTAAATTTTGCAAGTGACTGTCGATGGATGAATTAAGAATTTTGTAAAAAGATTTCATGAAAATTTACTCTTCATCAGATGATCGGCCGAATTGATGAAAGCTTACTCTTTACTGTTGGAGTATATTATATTAGATCAAACCTTTCATAAAATTTTTATTCAAATTTAAAGACAATTTTGATACAGTCTTGGAGATGTCTCCTTTCCTTATTTCACAATCAATCCATGTATTTTCCAACATCCATTCCCATTTAAGGGTATAAATATAAAATGTAAAAATTAATTAAGACTGGCTCGCTAAATCCTGAGGCTCCGTTTGGGAAGATAGGTTGTGGGTTTTGTTGGCTATTTTAGTCATAAAAGACAAAATAGGTTATTAGCCATAATAAACAAAACATCATATCCAACTCATAATCATTACACTCTTCTCTCATAAAAAAAAGTCAAAAAAGTCAAAAAGTCCTTCCCAAACTTAGCTTTTTAGCCCAGGCTAAAATAGCCAAAAAGCCAAAAAGCCAACCCACTTCCCAAACCAACCCTCTGAATAGTTTTTTTTGGCATTGATAGATTAAAAATTCAAATTTTGCTTCAAAGTTTTCACTCTCTAGACTATGGTCTAGTTTTAATAATGTACCAAATATAATGGAATATTTTAGAAAGATAGTTAAAAATTGATTTTTTTTGACTTTTTAAGCTTTTTTGACCGTTATATGTGAGAAATAATGTGACTCAAAATGAGTTAAAAACTGACTTTTGACTTTTAACCCAATTCCGAAATGGCCCCAATAAATGATACATTTTTTAGATGGGGGTGGTGAGACTTATTAAACAGCAACAATTAAGGCTGCAAACGAACAGAGTCGAGCCGAGCTTTGTTGTGCTCGAGCTCGACTTGACTCGTTAATAATAATGAAACTCGATCTCGGTTTGGCTTGATAATTTTTTTTAATATTATTTAATATATAAATAATGTAATTATACAATTATTTATATATTATTTATTATATAATTTAAATAAAGATAAACGAGCCGAACTCGTGCGAGCTTAAGCTCGAGCTCGGATCGTTTACTAAACAAGCCTAATATTCGAGCTCAAGCTCGGCTCGTTTACTAAACGAACCGAGCTTATTCATGAACAGCTCGGTTCATTTGCAATCTTAGTAATAATAAGGTAAATTATGAATAGGTCTTAATAGTTAGACTTAATTTCCATAAAATCCTACTGAAAATAAGTTTTAATAAAATCGTCGCTAAAAATATTTTTTGTGATGATTTTTTTACATATGTTGCTAAAAATTAACAATTTGTGACTTTTTTTGTCAAGATTTTTATAAATTGTCTTTAAAATTTACAATTAGTGACATTTTTATGTGACGAATTTTTCAAACTATTGCTGAGATTTGTAAATTGACTTTATGTGACGATTTTTTTAAACTGTTGCTAAAACTTATAATTATTGATATTTTTTGTGATACTTTTCAAACTGTTATTGAAAATTAACAATTAATAATATTTTTTAATAATGTTTAATGAAAAATACCATTAATTATCGCTTATTAGACAATAAATTTATTTATTAAGATTTACATGTAAGTCTCCTAAACAATAATATATGTAGTTTGTATATTTATATAACTTTAGTCTTATATTTGTACATTTTAAGGGAGGGTTGTGCCATTATGTCAAAATTATAAAATCAATCAGTGTGTTTGGTTTGAGTTTTTTGAATTAAATTTTTTAAAAATTGAGTTTTTCGATTTTCGTATTTTTTTGTTTTTAGTGAATATTTTTAAAATTTTAAACATTTTTTTTAGATGCACCTTACTTAAATGTATCTAAAAAGTAAAAAATTTGTGAAAAAATATTTTTAATAAATACAAAAAAATACAAAAAATGCACTGAATTCTTGTATTTTTTTTTTATATTTATATAACTTTAGTCTTATATTTGTACATTTTAAGGGAGGGTTGTGCCATTATGTCAAAATTATAAAATCAATCAGTATGCTTGGTTTGAGTTTTTTGAATTAAATTTTTTAAAAACTGAGTTTTTTGATTTTCGTATTTTTTTGTTTTTAGTGAATATTTTTAAAATTTTAAACATTTTTTTTAGATGCACCTTACTTAAATGTATCTAAAAAGTAAAAAATTTGTGAAAAAATATTTTTAATAAATACAAAAAAATACAAAAAATGCACTGAATTCTTGTATTTTTTTTTATATTTTTGGTATTTAGTGAATTTTTAAAAGGTTTTTTTCAATTTTTTTTTTACTTTTTAGGTATATTTATGTTAGTTATGTCTAAAAATTAAAAAAAATTCTCAAAATATTAAAAAAATTCAGTAAAAACAAAAAAACAAGAAAAATAAGAAAGTGGAATTTTTTGAAAATTGTTTTTAGAAAAAGGGGGATTTGGTCATAGCCCCCTTATACACCTTGGTGGACAGCATATGACCTTTAAAGGGCCAGTTACCTAACAGCAAAGCCCAGTTGGAAAAAGGGCACGGGCAAATTACATATACACCCCTCCAGGTTTGGTTAAATTACAGATACCCCTGAGGTTTCGGAAATTACATCCCGCCCCCTGAGGTTTGTATTTTCATAACAATTTACCCCCTGAGGTTTATATTTCATAACAAATTACCCCCCCCTTTTGTTCTTGTGAAAAATGAACCCATATAGCATTGAGATAAAGACCCTATTATACACCTTGGTGGACAGCATATGACCTTTAAAGGCCCAGTTACCTAACAGCAAAGCCCAGTTGGAAAAAGGGCACCTAGCTTAAATATAAATCAACAAGTCTAATTCACGAATAAGAGGTGATGGTGGGTCTCATTCGTTAAAAAATTATATTCATCTAATAATTATAGTTATAATCATGAATTATAATTATCAAATTAATTAAAATTTTTAATTTTTAATTTTTTAATTTTTAATTTTTTTTTTTTATGACTAGATGAGCCCTATTTTTGATTTGTGTATATATATTTTTATATGAGTTAAGTTTCTATTATGTTAAGATTTCAACATAAGAGAATTTAAGAGGCTTATAAGGCTCATCACATGTCATGTTTCAATAATTTGAATCGTTCATTTTGTAGAGTTATTAATACATATTATTTATGAAAAATTTAATTCGATTTAATAATCATAACATTTTCATTTTATCGCATTTGTCTCTTAAAAAATAGACAATAAATATATTTTTGAGATTGACCATTAATTTTTTTAGAAACAAGTATTACAAAATAAAAGCGTTACGATTATCGAATTGCCTTAAATTTTTTTTTATAAATAATATACATTGAGAGTCTTACAAAATAAATAATTTAGATTATCAACATGACACCCGTGATGAAAAATATTGGGAAAAAATAGTTAGTTTTTCTTTGCCATGGTATGGATGTTAGGGCCCTGATGATTAACGATCCTGATGTTATTCAACGATTTCAAGCAACGATGTGATGAGTTTGGGGTAAGGGGTTCTGAATATGAACCTTTGAGAAATTAACTGGTTAATCTAACGGTCGAGGTTGATTGTTAGAAGGGTTATCGGTCGGACCAACCTTTGGCTTCCCCATTCTTTACTGAAGAATTTATATTAGAGTAATACTAGGAATATTATTTTTAATCAAATAAATAATTAAATGTTTTATAAATTTATATTTTGTGGACTTTACACTTATGATATTTAATTACTAGTGTATATCCGTACCTGAAAGTACGGTGTAAATAAAAATAAATGAATAAAACGAAAAAAACATAAAAAAATAAAATAAATAGGGAGGAAAATAAAAAGAGGGAATAAAAAAATAAAAAGACAAGAAGGTGAAATCATGAGATCATTTATGGGATCATGGAAGGGTGTATGAAAAAATGAAAAAGTAAAAAAAAAAAAGTAAAAAAATAGAAAATGTACATATAGATACATCGCAACTATTATTTTGTAATTTAAATAATTTTGAATCGTCCAAATATCCTAATTGGACAAAAATATATTGAAGATTCTCAACAAATGAGATACAGTCCTTCCCCTTGAGGCTTAGCCCACGCATATGAGAGACATCAAATAGGCTGCCGTTTTCCTTACAATTCAGAGTGGATTCCATAATTGAGTCCTTGTATTGAAGCATGCTACATCCAGCAAATGGGACCATCTTGCCACCATTTGAGACATGGAAATCATACAGAATTGTCTTCTTCAGTTCAGCTTCTGTGGCAAAGCATCATCGTGTTACGACCTTCTTATTAGCTTGAGCAAGTCGGCGAGTGATTAATTGCCGAAGTTGCCACAAACCCCCTCTCATCTTCTTGTAAACATAGCTGATTGAAATTCATCAAAATAAGGATCAGAACAAACAAATGATCACATTAATGTTCTGTTAAAACTCAAATCGAATCTGACAAACCACAAATGAATAGCTCAAACCAAACGCATAGTGAATTCGTAGGCACATAAAAGTTTTTTTTTAAATGAGGGATCTTTAGACATCACAATGAAAAACAGTACATTGAGATTTACATTACATTACATTTTCATATATAAGGAAAATGTTTCTGGCATAATACAACCTTGACAATCAACATATACAACATACATCAAAATCATATTCGAAGGGAGCAACGTCGATACAAAAACAACATAATCAACAGATTGGCAATTAGGAAATTTTTCCTAGGTAATTAGGCAGTCAGGAATTTACCTATGCAAACAGATTGGTTTAGGACAGGAAATTTTTTATGGGTAATTAAGCAGTTAGGAAATTACCTATGCAAACAGATTGGTTTAGGACAACAAAGTTATCATAAAGAATAGGTTTAGCACACAGATCGCAAAGATCTATGTGTAAATTGTCACAAATTTTACTCAACAACATTATTACAGTGAGCAAAAAATTGGGTACCGCAGTTATCAATTGAATTTTGTAAAATTACTCGGGCGTAGAGAACAAAGTTCTTGGTGCTTCAATGGGTTTAATTAATTGTAAATATCAAAACAAACACAACCACAAAAACAAAAATAGAGAGAAAGGGAAATGCTTCGATCTTACCTTGTGAGGGTGGGTGTCGATGATGAACAACAGAACAAACAATCAAAACAACAATGATTTCGTAATTTCTGATTCCAAAACAACCAAAATCAAAACAAACAATCTTACATTTCTAGTTCGAAGGGAATGAGGAGGAGAGGACTAAAGTGATGAAAGAGGATGAGAGAAGAGGGAGGAGGATAGGAAATAGGGGGTTCGGGTTTGGGTCTCCGGCGATAGTGGTGGTCGTCGCAAGGAGATGTGGGTTTTTGCTATTTGCTGATCTTCCTCTTCAGTGGTGAGCGGCGTTGAGAGAGAGCATTATACAGTTTTTTTTTTTTACGATCAAAGGGGTATCGGATGATTGTAGGTAATCGACGACGGTCAGTGGGCATCGGTTGGTGAAGGATGAAGAAGGGGAAATATAAGAACAGTGGCTTCCGTTGTCGTTTCCATTTCTTCTGCTTCCGCTGATGATCGCAGAGATCAGGTTATTTTGATTTTGAGGCGAGAATGTGAGAGAGAACGTGTAGAGAGGGAGTTGAAGAGACGCGTTTGGGCAGACACAGGAGAGAGAGAGCAAAGAGTGTTTGGCCGGAAAAAAAATTGATCTTAACCGTTAGACATTGATTGCATCGGTTGGTGAAGGATGAAGAAGGGGAAATATAAGAACAGTGGCTTCCGTTGTCGTTTCCATTTCTTCTGCTTTCGCTGATAATCGCAGAGATCAGGTTATTTTGATTTTGAGGCGAGAATGTGAGAGAGAACGTGTAGAGAGGGAGTTGAAGAGACGCGTTTGGGCAGACAGGCGAGAATGTGAGAGAGAACGTGTAGAGAGGGAGTTGAAGAGACGCGTTTGGGCAGACACAGGAGAGAGAGAGCAAAGAGTGTTTGGCCGGAAAAAAAATTGATCTTAACCGTTAGACATTGATTAAAAATCATTTAATATATATTTTCAAAAATAATTTTACTTTATTGTATAGATTTATTTGATAAAAAATTTAACATCTATATCAAATTATTTATTTATATATTAATGGCTACAGTCTAGCCGGAACAATGGGGCATTAATTATAGAGCTTAGAAATTTGAGAAAAGCTTCTCTCTCTCTCCTCTCAAATTTGGATCTTCCGATTTTCTTTCAACGTTCAAGATTCGTCCAGCTGATCTGATCTGATGATCAGTAGATTTTTCTCTAATTTAAAAATTCTCTGTTTTTGGTAGGCATGGAAGAGAAACTTCTTTCGATTTCTAGGCATTTCTTCAAGGTCATGGTACCCGGTTTTCTCACAAAGCTTGTATGTCCTCTCTCTCTCTCTCTCTCTCTTGCTTTTTTGGAGCAAGTTCACCTTTGCATTGCTTGATGGTAAAAAAAAATTTCACTCAAGTGTAATGGCAGGACCCTTGTTCATAGAATGTTTTGGAATTTGATGCTTACTTTAATGGTATAGCCTTTTTTTTTTTACCTAAAAATTGATAAGTTTCAAATAATCATTTTTTTTTCAAATTATTTAAGTTATTTTTGTTTAATAAGTTATTAGCAAAAGTTACACTCACAATTTAACACAGACTCCCCAATTAAAATAAGATATAATCACCTCCTAAAAGCTGTAACAAATAGTCCAAGATAATATTTGGTTGATTAGAATAAAGGAGTAATGAGGGTTTATTCCGTTATTAAGTTAATTTTCATGTTTGGTTTATAAAAAATGGGATTAAATATATTTCATTTTGGTTGTCAATTTAAACATTGTGTCAATTTAGTTGTTAATGTATAAAATTTGTTTCATTGATATAATTTAAACATTTAGGTACTTCTGTTTAATTAAGAGTAAGAGTAAGTTGGTTTAATTTTAGCCCTGTCTTAGTGATAACATGCATCTTCTATAAGACTGAAAATATTATGAAGTTCTGTTTTGTCAAAAGTAATGGAAAATTGGAATCCAGTATTCAATAATAGAAGTCTTCTTCAGACCACCATGCCAATCAAATGGAGCATCAAGGAAATTAGTGAGCAATGGAATTGTTGAGATAAAGAGCTAGAAGAGTAAACACACGACTCTACGCGCTTAACCAAGTGAGTCGAATCAGCCATTGAATAACCAGAGGGGAGAGAGAGAGAGGGGACAGTTGACATTTGGAATAAGACGAAAGAAAGGGAAAAGAGGGGTTGCGGTGGTGGGAAGGTGGTTGTCCGTGGGGCAGAAGGAGGTGGTTGCAGTGGTGGTAATGGTCACTGTAGTGGAGTGGTAGAGGAGGCTATGAAGGTTGTGGTTAAGACAGTGGTGATCGCGGTGGTTGAATGGTTGTGAAGGTGGAGATAGTAGCAGCTAGTGGTGGTAACAATGGCAACGACCGACAGCAATGCCAGTGAGGAGGAGAGAGAAAGAAAATGAAAATGGGTGTTAGGATTAGGGTTTTTAGGTTTTGGTTGTAAGGAGAAGGTAGGTTAGGGATAAGGATAATAAAAGAATTATAGAGATTATAAAAAGGTCGACAATGGCAGTGAAGAAGACAAAGAAAGAAAATGAAAGTGGGTGTTAGGGTTAGGGTTTTTAGGTTTTGGGTGTAAGGAGAAGGAAGATTAGGAATGAGGATAATAAAAGAATTATAGAAATTATAAAAAAGTTTAAATGAAAAAAATTAAATTTTAACGGTGTAGGGAGTTAAACTTATAGTGTAAATAGAATCACTCAATTTTATTTTAGTACTTATTAGAGTTTTAATTTAAGGTAAAATCTATTTTACCCTCTTATGATTTGACCTTAAAGTACTTTACTCCCTTATGGTTCAAAAACATCCAAAGACACATGTGATTTTGATTATTTTGCACTTTACCTCTCTATCGTTATTAATTCCATCAAAGTTAACGGAATTTGTATCGGACATGTAGATTTTGAGATTTGGTATGACAAAAACTTTCAATCAAAATCAAATTTCATAGTAAAAAGACAAATTTACCCTTTTTATCTTCTTCTCATTTAAAACCCTAACACCACCTTTCATAACACCCACCACCTCTACGCCACATTGCAACCTAAGATTGTAAGAACCGATTGGTCTCACCTTGATCGTCGTCTCACAATTGATCAATGCTTCAGAGAGCTTCAAGGTAAAAAATGACACGTGGGCAATAATGAAGAAATTACCTAAGTCTACTAATATATTTACAGTTTTTCTACTGTTCTCCGAGTTGGGATTTGGAAAAAGAAACAATTTTTTTTGTATTGTCTTTGAAAGTACTTTTAATTCCATACGCTCACCATACCTACTGAATTTGCTCATATTTTCAATGAAGAATCGTTCACTTTCCTCCTATGGTGGTGTTAATGATAGCAACAATGCTATACTCACTATCTTTATCATCTTTTTTTTAATCACATAAAGTGGCTCAAATTATCTATCCTCAAAATTCATGTACCCTATCTCGAATACATTTTCAGCTTGCGCAATTGTATTTGAAGATTTGCTCATTGTTAACAGGGCGACATAGATGATTGGGCAAAGGATCTCTAGCCACAAAATATGTCATATTTACAATTTTTTTAGATAATAGTGAAACTCGTGGAGTTTACTGCAACTATAGTTGTGAATGTACTTCATAGGGTAAAAAATTGATTGAAAAGTGCAGCATTATTGTAATAACAGTGTTATATTATTATTGTTATTTTATTTTTGTATATATATCTCAAAATTTTTGTGTATACTAGTATCCCTAATTATTGTCATGCAATGTCAATAGGTCTACTAACACAACTTCTTATTCTTTTTCTTTTTTTTTTTGTTGTACACAAAGCACTGCATTCATCCTTGTGAATTGAGGAGGCTGCAACTTACACCCCCGAGGGTCCCCATTTTGTAATAACCATATCTGTTCACCATGGGATCAGTCATTATCCTTAGCAAGTTTTTGAGTACTTTCCTTCCCCTTTTTTTTTTCCTCTCAAAAGCATGATAATTAAACTACTTTTGTGTATTTGTGCTTGTGATTTTGCAAATGACAGAATATCCTAGTGAATTTTTTGAAAGCGAATGACCTTAGTGAGCATTGCCACCTCACTTGTAGAGATCCTTTGGGAAAACCTTGGCCGGTGAACTATTTCCATTCAGAAAGAGGGTTCATCAGGAACAATCGCATTACGTTCTATGAAAAAGGTTGGTATGAGTTTTACACATCCAATAAGCTAAATGATGGAGATGTCTGCATCTTTGACTCAACCGCACCGTCACTAGAGGAAGGCGTTGTGAATTATGTAGTTTATGTTATTTATTAAGGATAGTTTAGTCCTTTAGGTTGTTAGGGTTTAATTAGGGTTTGACTTTATTAGATTATATATTTGTACTTGTTTGATTGATCATTCAATAATAATACACACAAGTTTGTTATCATGGTATCAGAGCCACGACTCAGATGTTAACATACCTTTCGCAGGTTATCATCGACCATCGTAGCCCCTTTCTCTCTCTTTATAAGGCCTTTGTTAGGGTTCTCTATGGTCTCTGTTCTCTTTGTTGCACTTCGCTCTTGCTGGTTGTTGGTCCTGAGCCCTAGGTTGCTTGTTCATCTGGTTGCATCGGAGCCCTAGGTCATCATCGACCATCGCAACCCCTCATCTGGTTCGATCGAAGCTCTGTAATTCCTTTGTGTGGCTCGGATTGGTGACCTCTCTCTCTTTCTTTAGTTCACATGATCAAACTAAGGTCTAAAATTAGCCTCTATGTCTCTCTCTGAAATTGACTTATGATTTTAGGTTCAGTCTCTCTTTCTTTGCTGTGCCTTGGTTTTCTTTGATTGATATTTGTGGTGATAAGGTTATCATAAGTTTGACCTAATTGGTTATGTAATTATAGCAATAGCAACTTTGATTGGTTTTACTGTGTTGCTTAATTATAGTACTATGGCTGATGATAAATTGCAAGCTATCACTACCAAGTTAAATGGTACCAATTACTTTTATCGCTCTCATTTAATGTAAAATTTTATAATGGGTAAAGGCATATGGAACTACATGATTGGTGTGACTATTAGACCTATGGAATCTCAAGAAACTGAGATCGATGTTGCTAAATGGGATAAGAAAAATGCACAAATTCTTACTTGGTTTCATAATTCAGTTCAAACTACCATTGGTATGAATTTTTCCAAGTATTCTACTTCTAAACAAATTTGGGACTATTTGAAAACTATGTACCTTGAGTCTAACTTTGCAAAGTAGTATGAACTTGAGATGTCTATTCGTAGTGCTAGTCAGAAAGATAAGTCTATTCAGGAGTTCTACAATTAGATGACTACTTATTGGGATTAGCTTGCTTTGATGGAACTGTCAAATTTATAGTTACTTGACAATTATACTAAGTATCGGGAGAAGCAACATCTTGTTGAATTTCTTATGGCCCTTCTTGATCAATTTGAGCCATTTCGAGGAGCTATTCTTCATCAGTCTCCCTTGCCTTTTGTGGATGGCGCTGTTCGTGAGCTTATTGCAGAAGAAACTCAGTTTAAGGTGGCTCATGGTGCTTCTGCTTCTCAGTCAGTTTTTGTCACTCCTCTGCTCTTGCGTACCCCACCTTCTCCTTTATTTTAGGGTACTGGTAAGCCCAAGCCTCGGAT